GTTTTTTCAGTTTTGAGACAGTTTTGCTGCAAAAAGCTAAATTTCTTTATTTCGCCGATCGCTTTTGTAGGCCGACGCTTCTGTCTCTGCAATTTTAGAAAATCCGGTGCGGAAGTGATATTTTGCGAGGCGCATTTTGTTTTGAGAGTATAAATCTAGATCTAGACCTTCTAATTTTTTGTATCTCTCAAGATTATTGCTCAATTCCAGTAGAGTGTAAATATAGTTGGCCAATGACTTTCAGTTGACATTAATGCACCGATCATACCTTTCATCAAAAGGGGACCCAGCTAGTATTTTATAAAAGAGCAAGAATGACATCTGCCAGTCAGGGAAGAGAAAGAAAATACACTCTATCAGTATCATGGAGTGTATAGAAATAAACCATAGTCTGTCTAGAAGTGTATAGTTTAGAAAACATAGTCTGTCACAGAGCATGTAACTTCTGTCAATCTGGGAAGAGAACGAAAAGATTCTCTACCGTGAAGCTTATAAAAAGAAAACATTCGCTATCATGAAGTCTATGGAAAGAAAGCATAATAACTATTCTGTTTAGTTTTAGTAGAGGTTTTACGGCGCTCGCAACTGTATAAGGTCATATTATGAGCGCCAGAAGATTACAGGTGTTACAAGAGAGTAACAAATATAAAAAAGAAGAAGGGGAGATAAGGACGATAGATGTTTGATAGGAAAGAAGGAGCAAACCCCACCAGAGCACCCGCTAACCACCCACAACTATTCGGTAATGGAAAGAAAGATAACATACCAGACAAAATAAAAGACATAAAAAGAACTTTGATCAACACTAACGTTGCATTAGTAACAAAAAACACAGCAGATAGACCACAGAGAACGTTACCGTCACTTACAAGATCTGATCTGAGACTGCTCTGTGTACAAGGGTTTGCGGAACGCCTCGTTGAAGAACCAGACGAAGTTGACCAGCCACAGAAAGGGCAGGATGAAGAAGCCAGCTGGAAATTTAAACAAAAAGACAGGACGATCAAATTTTTTTTTTCAAGACAACGAGTACAGAGATGTTATGCTATAGCAGACTCCAAGTGTGAAAAATAAAAACACACTAACTATTCAACAGGAAATACAACAAACAAGAGAAAGATGTTTGCTTCTTTCCTTGATGCAGCAAAGTAATAGGGCCGTACAAAGTTTTGAAGAAGTAATTCCAAGAGTGGAGCATGAAATCTTTCTGTACGATTTATTCCGTACTGGCACCATTTTGTACTTAAAAATTCTGTTAAAATGAAAGCTTTGATGTATTTTCGCCTAAAATTGCAAGAAATTGCGAACTTTGCAAAAAATTGTGGGTTTATCGCGGAACTTGATGAAAAAGGCTGCTGTAAGACTGCAAAAGACAGCGCCGATTTCCTGTGGTGCCATTTAAATATATATTATTATAGATAATTGATGGAGTGCATGCACATAAAATTGAGTAACAGTAATATATTTCACTGATTTACCATGATAATACTTGCGACAGAGCACCAGTTTTTCTTCATTTTTCACTCGCCGAAGGTCCATTTCTCCAGTCAGCAAAAGCACAAATTTTTCCAAATATGTTCAGAACTATCTGAAAAAGAGAAATGACAAAACAATTTCATAATGGGTCTTAAGATGTAAGGCTTTAAAATAAACTACAGTTGAGCACAGATAGATTGTTACTGAAACAAGAAAAACTCAAATTTACGGACAGCTCGGACAATTTACCAGAAGCTTCCATTCCTCAAATGAACCTCTGTTATCTTCTTTATATGGAAAACAAACACGTCCATCGCCATTGTGAGCATATCAAGTAACATGAGTCCACCAAGCTCTCCTTCAAAGGGCACAACCCCCCCTTCCCTGAAGGTGTCACCTCAGGGCAGCAATCTGTCACAGTTAACTCTCTATCTCACTGGATGGGGGGGGGGAGACCCACTATGACGGGGCCTTCTTTTGGTACGGCAGGTTTTGGTCTCGCTACCGACAAATCCTCTTTCTTCAATAATATCTTAGCTGTCGCTAAAGATATCGGAAAAACTTTATCTTCAGTAAGTGAACACATCAATTCCTCTCATGTGTATTGATGTACGATATATAGGGCTGACGCAAAGAACAATGCTATAAACAGGGATGTCATTCACCTTTAAAAAAAAACAACTGACAATCAACGTGCCACGGTCTCGATAACATAATAATATGAATATCAATTTGAAACCCAAAGGGTGTACATTGAGAGAAATGACAAACAAACAAACATAGATTCTATCTCAATCTCAATAACATAACAGCGGATCAGGATCAAAATACCGGAAAAAAGTGGAAAAGTGGCATCCCTGTATAAATAAGCGTGTTCCTGGGGTTAGCCCAGGCTTGGGCAAGTACTGCGTTTTCGCACTGCTGGTGCCCGGCGTGTGGTATTGTTAAACTATGGGACAACCATATCGCATTGTAGTGTTGTTCTTCTTTCATTTTCAACCAAAATTACTGCTAAATGAGCGAGGACAATAACAATTAAATTTTGCTGAAACCAGTCAGGAAAAAAAATTTCAGATGAAGATGTCTATTTATAATATGAGATTTCCGTTGAATGTCTTTTGAATCGGTGTCAGCTGTGCACATGGCTTTGAGGCTCTGTTAGGGACTCGGTAAAAAGACTGAAAAAGGTTTGGGATAACTGCTTGGGGGCGAAAAAACATTTTTCCAGGGATTTTTTTTTTGTGAGTTAGATCTAGATCTATCTGGATCTTTAAATAGATGATCATTGTTGAATCCCGACTTCCCATAACTCAAAGGCTGTCGTTATTCTCACCCGCAGTGAAAATAAAAATATAATATTATATACAACCCGCTCTGAGAAATTATTCTTACCTGGGTGTTGAGAACGGGTAGCAATACATTAGGCTAATAATTGCTCCCGAGTGCTGGCCGATTTTTTTAGGCTCCCGCAGGGGAATGTTATTGTTTCATTAAAAAAAAATCTTGACAGTATGCATATATACCTTCACCAGAATCCTAGACAAATGAATACATTTCTCAATTCAGAAATGAAATCACTTGCTAGAGTCGTATGTTTTTAAAAACAAATAGCCTGAACTGAAAGGAGTTTTATGAAATAATGTTTGTAATAGATCTAGATCTAGTATGTTCAGAAAACTGGATTTGTTTACAACACAAACATTTTATCACCTGTACTAACAGAACCCACGAAGGTGCATTGACCCGTTGGCAATTTTAGTCGCTTCAAGCGCTCAACGGAGTGAGAGAGAGAGGGGGAGGCGAGTTTTGTCGCCTGGAGCGTTCAGTGACAGGAGGGGCCGTCTATCAATTTACAATGGGCATCCTGGTGGCTGCATCTCCTGGGAGGTCCGGGGGTTTGTTTCTCTGCAAGGTCACACACAACACTTAAAAATCTATCATGTCGTAAATATTGTGAATAATTGTGGTGTATGCCCATGTGGCAAACTCTGCGTCTAGTGTGGCTAAAGCTTGGCCACACTGCAGCAGAGCGGTGAACATTATACTACAAAGACAAAGGTCCAATTTACAATACAATTCATTGATCAACAAACTGTAGGATATCGAAAGGATGGCCGGCATCCTGTCAACTTCCCGGTAAAACTAAGGGTGGAAATGGGCGCTCTTTCGGTAGTTACCACCCCGCAATTGTTATTCGCTGGTTTTGGCCCCAAGAGTAGGGGGGTCCCCCCTGACCTTATAAATATGGTGGGGGGTTTAAGGGGGGCATGCCCCCCTGAATTTTACCACAATATAATGTTTTGCAGTTGTTAGGTTTGATATCTTAGCTTGCCGCAAATCAAACGTATAGATCTAGACTAGATCTAGATGTAGGTCAGGCTCAAATAAGGGGGGTGGGAACTACCGAAAAGGAAGCTGGGAAGAGGCTAGCCGTACTTAATGACGGCTAGACTGGCAGTCTAGCCGTACTTATTCTTAATATGATGACTAGACTGACCATTTACAAAGAAATTGGCCTACTGAATTGTAAATATACATTTTTAGTGTGCAGTACCTAAAGTATTTGTATTTGAGGCGAAACCAGGTGCCTTAATGACAGTGTATGTATTTTAAACCTTCTGTTTTCTGATGTTAATAGGGCCTAAGATAAGTACGGCTAGACTTCTTGTCTAGCCGTACTTAAGTACGGGTAGACAGCCAGGCTAGCCGTACTTAAGGACGGCTAGACTGTCAGGCTAGCCGTACTTAATATTGATGGCTGAATTGTAAATGAAATTTTTATTTTGCAATGCCAAAAGTATTTGTATTTCAGACAAAACCAAAAGGTGCCTTACTGACTTGCATGTATTTGAACTTGAATAATTACTAGATCTAGATCTAATGAGACCTGTGTACTTAACAGGCTTGAGTCGATTGGGCCAAACCTAGATCTAAGTACGGCTAGACTGGCAGTCTAGCCGTACTTAAGTACGGCTAGACTGGCAGTCTAGCCGTACTTAAGTACGGCTAGCCACTTCGTACCGAAAAAGCACCTGGAAATGAGCAATCCTCTCGATATTGTTATAATGAACGAACTTTTTGCTATTTCCGTCATTCAAGTTAGAATTACACCAAGACCAATGATAGATGATTAAAGCGTTATTACATGAAGTTGATTTTGGACCTCAGTCCTCAGCCTCATTTATCACACCCAGGTATCCCATATTTAGATGCTCAAGCCTCAAGCTCCATGGATTATGGTCCGCTCTCATGCTATTGAACACGGCTCGATTGAACACACCACCTAAAAGCCTTAATATATTTTGTCAGACAATGAAGAATACGATTTCAAGGTACGTATTAAAAAAACTTCGGTTTTCTGAAGAAAAGAAGTCTTGTTTACATTAGGCCTACATGTATTACTCACTTTCAGGGGCTGTGGCTGTCTCCGTTTCCTTTTTTCCGGGTTTACGACGCATCACTAATCTTTACAATTACAGGGGTGATCTCCCTTATCTCAGTTAATACAAAATAGAGAGAAATTGTCAAAAAACAAATATCATCTTGTAATTCATCACTTTTGACTATACTAGACTGTCTTAGGAGCTCATTTTTCAAAATTAAAAAATAGACAAAAGTGATATGTAGATATTTGTTTGCTATAGTATTTATGCAATAAGAGTAAAGACCAAAATATATTGTTCCGTAGTGCACACTCAACTTGTTTGGATCCACCTGTTTACATTGACGACAAGATGGCGGTGAGAATGATAGATTTAACTGCGCAACCACAAAGATGCACTTTCACGGATTCCCCACCTGAAGAAATGAGTTATGCTGAAGCCTTCTGGCACTCTGTTAGGCTTCAGCCTACAATGGAATCTAGACTCGTCTCCTCAGATATCAAACAGAGATTGGGGAAGAAGAAGAAAAATACGTCGAAATCAAGTAAGGCAAGGTTCACCCCCCCCCTCTTTTTATCCTGCGGAGTCGCTATGCCGCCCGATATGGCGAGTGGCTTGCGTTTTGCAACTCGAGTGAATTCTGCCTCTAAATTGTCAAAACCTCATGTAGACTCTAATCATTTCACCTCAAAAGGTGCAATTGTTTTGTTGTGGACTGAGAGAACTGCAACTGTAATTTTTAATCAAAATTAATCAGAAATGTTCCAGTAGGCATAGATCTAGATCTAGATCTAGAATCTACTTGCACTTTGTCTTGCATGCATCGAATGATCGAATAGATAATTAATTTTATTTAGAACGTGACCTTGTGCTATTTACAAAATTATTGCTGGTGATTAAGACTGAAAAGTCTCATTTACTAATAATTTTGCTGAAATCTTTCTTTTTAGTGATATAGAGACGTGCTAACTGCTGTAATGACCATTAAAACCGTTCATTTGCATTTTTAGAGTGGCTTTACAAAATTCATGTTGAACATGATGTAGTTTTATTTCCATGCTATTCATTCCTTGTTGCTCTCTCTCTGCTCTCTCTCCACTCTCTCTCTCTCTCTCTCTCTCTCTCTCTCTCTCTGCTCTCTCTCCACTCTCTCTCTCTCTCTCTCCGCTCTCTCTCCTCTTTCTCCTCTTTCTCCTCTCTCTCTCCTCTCACTCTCTATGCTCTCTCCGCTCTCTCTCTCTCCTCTCTCTCTTCTCTCTCTCTCCTCTGTCTCTGCTCTCTCTCTCCTCTGTCTCTGCTCTCTCTCTCTCTCTCTCTCTCTCTCTCTCTCTCTCTCTCTCTCTCTCTCTCTCTCTCTCTCTCTCAGAACAGAAGCTGCATGTGCAGAGACTCTCTACTTGCTCCTAGTCGCAGAGCAACTATACTATAATACACACCTTGTTGACAGTGATGTGAATCCCGGGTAGTCAGTACTAGGTGACCAGCTCTGGCAGAAAAATGCTAGCCACCTGAGTTTGTGGCAAGTTGTCACAAGCAAGGTTTCATTGTTTGTTCCTGAAAATGCTAGACCTCTTTGATAATCAGGTCTAGCCCTGCATGCCATAAAAGAGCTATACTCTGGACACTGAGGAATGTTACATGTATAAATAAAAAACAACATAGACCACAGATTTGGACAAATAGAAAGTTAACAGCTTATGTGAATGTATTTTATTGATAAAAAATGCTCAAACCACATGAAAAAAATCATAGAGATTAGCGCTGGTGTCAACTGAAATGACATCAAAATGTGAGGAATGTTACTGTAAGACAAAAGAATTGATTTTATTCATCAGTTTCCCATAATATAATGGATAAATCTGTACCCTCCCGTTTGAGACTTTTTGAGGACATGTTTTTCCTGTTCAAAATGGGCGAACACATATAACAATCACCACGACTAAACAAAGAGCCTCAGCGACCTCATTCCGGGACAGTGTATGTTTTTTTGCACGCACTGTTCCCAAATCCTGTTCATTGCTAATGGAAAGGTGCCTCTTTATACTTGAAACAAACAGTTCTGTTGCTTGGATGGAGACCAAACTCATTACCTGCTCCATTTCGATTGTTACTGTTTTTTCCCCTCAGAAAAACACCTTTTTTTGTTGCTATAACAGTTTCGTATCTTACAACATAGACTTTTAACAGTTTTTCAAGCTGATCAGAGACTCCTCAGCATAATTTCTTTGCACTTGTACCAAAATAAGTAGGCTTGGTGTCTTTTGATATTTATAGTTGACACTCAAAATAGACTAGGAACTTAGTAAACAGTACTGGTGGAATAACCCATATATTATAATGCTTTAATTTAACTTTTCTTCCAGGTGTCACCTCAGGACAGCAATCTGTTAATAGCGGTGAGTTGCTTGACAAACATTTAGATTTTATTGTATATGTGAGGCCTTGTGGTGAAACCAGGCACTCGTCACATTAATGAAATTGATGATATCGGCATGTGTCCTCTAGTTTGACCATTTCTTTCTACTTTTTGTTTTCTGGCTCAACGGCTTTTATGTCCATTAAAAACATACTATTTCTGTGTGAGTTTTACTGAAAAACATTGATTAAAGGCACAAAAAATGTAAATTTTCAGTTTCCAAGGACTCTCGAGCTTTGGAAATCACTACTTTGACCGCCATTTTCTCACTAATTTACCTCTGAAAGCAGGCGACTCCGACCTCCTTCGATCGCAGATATCTCAACTTCTAGTCAAGATACGCTTGTGTTTTTTTCATCATGAGATGGTCAAATGTACAAGCTTTAAGATGATACCAATAACTCCAGATCCTGAAAAACTAACGAGCGCCTGATTCTACCGTGTTGGGTCGCATATTGTTATCCTTTTAATAATATGGAAGCATTTTAAATTTTACAATTTTTGAGCCTGGTCTATTTCATCAATAATGTGATCCCTTTGCCAAATTGTGAATGATTTGCTAGGACAAGTATTTCTCAAGATGTATTGTAATAAATCTCACAGTGTTCTTATTACCGGCACTTCATTTTGCTGAAGGCAGGTCAAGGTTTATAGTGAATGGCAGATCCTTTTCTCCTGAAACTTTGATCTGAAGAACTTGTCAATTATTCTTGGTTTCTGTTGTCTTCTGTCCACTCTACGTAAAGTAAAAGTGTTTATAGTATGTGACGCATCTTGGTGAAATCAGGTGCTCGTCAAAATAACGAAACTGAAGAAACAGGCCTTTTGCTGTGGGTTTGATCATTTTTATCGAATGTTTGTTTTTTAGTTCAACATCTTTTATGTCAATTTAAAAACATTTCTGTGTCTACTTTCCTGAAAAAGGTTACTTAAAAAGGTACCCCCCCCCCCCTAAAAAAAAGTAAATTTTCAGTTGCTTGAGAGCAGGAAAGAAGGGGAAAAGAGACAATTTTAGAAAATATAATATTTTTCGGTTGCTACACGGATTCGAACCCAGGACCTTTGATTGAGAGGCGAACCCCATAACCTCTAGGCCACGAGCCCCCCCCCCCCCCCCCCCCCCCCCGAGCAACCTACTTAGGGAACCTAAACAAATGGGTTACGGGGAAAGATCAGGGAAACATAGTTTTCTTCAGAGCCTCCGAGGAAAGGAATAAATGGAGAGCCGTGATCGCCGATGTCAGTCGCAGATCTGGCACTGGATGATGAGTGGCGTGCATCCCAAGCTGTTAGTCCACTTTGATCTGGCCAACCTCTATACTGCTTAAGACCGTTGTGCGTGAGCGAAAATTCACATCTTTCCCGAGGTGTCACCTGAGGTGTCACCTGCTACCCTTAACCGTGCGGTTCAGGAGCAGAACACAACGAATCTTGAGGAGCAATACCTCAATAACAAACACCATAGTCCTTCGGCTCACCGTCTGCCAAAGGGACGCAAGACTATGGGTCAATCAGCCTTACACAAATCCTAATCTCACGGTATACCTACGTGCTAATGGGATGAACGGCTACAGGGCTCATAAGTCGCTAACGTGGGCGTCAGGTAAGCGAGAGGGATGGCGCCAGGCGTATGGACATCCCCTGTCCCTTCCCATGTGTAGGACTCTGCCAGGGCGACAGTTAGAAAAACAAACATGAGTAAAAGTTATGAAAAGGAAACAGCACAGGAGCGACAGAGAACGTGCTCCTTTGGCGACGCTTTCTCCTGAATCGTTACTGAGGACTGGGGGGGGGGGGGGGAGGAGAGGAAGGAGGAGAGGAAAGAGAGGAGGTGCCAGGAAAAGAAGGGCAGGGAAAAGAAAGAATCAGGGAAAAACAGACAGGCTCAAAATGAAAAACGTCTGCATTGGCTATTGGAATTGCCTCAGTAGAAGGAACAGAGGAAGAGTGCTGGAAACGCTCGCCTATGTCTCTGACCTCTTTTTTCTGCAGGAGACCAATGCTAAAACTTTGTCATGTCCTGGGTGCACGTCATAATATCAATATCAACCCAATGAGCCCAACTCATCTAGGATTAGCCACTGTGGTCAGGAATGGTATCCAGCACCGGGTAAGAGACGTCATTACTTGGGACAAGGAGGACAGGGAGCTACAAGCACTTGAGCTAGTGATCCGCAACAGGTCATGGGTCATTGTTAATCTCTATGCCGGAGGGGGAAAACTTGTCCGTGAAGATGACTGGGAGTTTCGCCATTAGCTATTCGATCTTGGAGATGTTGTCCTGATCTTTGGGGACTTCAATGCCAGAAGCTCGACCTGGGGCAATGTCAACGAAAATGGTCAGGGAAACGCTTTGGATAGCAAGTTGATTGAAAGTGATCTCCACATCCTCAACATTTCCACCATGAGAAGACTATCTCAAAGAAATGGTGAACAGGACTCCAACGGTGATCTGGCCCTGATCAAAACAGGTGGCGAAGCTTTTACACAATGGAGTGTACTGGCAGATCAAGGTAGCGAACTCCTACCATGCTCAGTTCTTATATCAAAGGGTGGAAAGACAGTGAGACAAAAGGTCAAGGGTGTTTAAGTACAAATCAGACACCTCGGTCTTGGGAGGCCTGAGAAAGAAGGCCTGGAACAGAAGACCCTCAAGATCTAACGTTACGCAGCCACCATGGTGGAGCAATGAAACTGACTGCCTGTGGAAAGAGAAGAGGAATGCTGCTAAGGACTGGCAAAGAAAGAGGAAGAAACCCAATGTCACAGAGGAAGAAAAGGAGGCAGCTAAAGAGCAGATGAGGCAGGCTCGAGAAATATAAGTTCAGAACTGAAACAAATCTGGCCAAAAAGACGAAGTGGGAAGAGTCTGTAAAAAATGTTGCAGCTGAGAAGATACTCTCAAAGTTCTGGAAGCTGCGAAAGAAGATGTGGGGACAGGGTCACACAAAAACCACATTGAATGTGAAGGACGAGTCAGGAAAGACACTCCAAACTGATGAGGAGAAAGGAATGGCTTTTTTTTGGCCGATTCATACATCAAACCCACCAGGGATATATTGACCCTAGAAAGGAAGTTGAAAGAGATGTTTCAAGTGTGCTGACATCAGAGATGTATGCAAGCTATGGGGATGCGATTTGTAAAGAAGAGGCTTCCAGAACAATAAAATATGGCAAAGACGGCGCTGGAGGGCTGGATGGTGTAAGATATTGCCACACGAAAGAAGCAGACGACGAGATGATTGAAGAAATGAAAAAAGACTTCAACATGAGCGTTGGCATTGGCAAAATCCCTGAAGAATGGTTGCACAGCTGGTTGATACCAATCCCCAAACCAGGAAAAGACCACTCGGCTCTCAGTCGTTACAGAATCATAGCCGTACAGAACACCTATGGGAAAATTCTTGAAAAGATAGTGCCGGACGAATATCAGCACACTTGGAGAAGAAATCTGGAAGCTTGGTGTTCCCTCGACTACAGGACTGTCCAAGACATAGCTCCACCAATCACTTGCAACTATGAGATCGTCGACAGACAGTCAGAGCTCAAGTATCTGGGAATCGTCTTCGACAGGTCGTTGTCCTTCAACAAGCATGTGAATCATGTGGTAACAAAGGCCAAACGAGGTGTTGGTGCAATCAAGACCATGGCGGCCGCTCTGATTCCACAAAGAGTGCTCTTCCTGATGATGCAGCTGGTCGTCGTGTCTGTCATTGATTATTGATTGGGATGTCTCAAGCTGCCCGACACGCAGATTGCTAAGCTTGATCGAGTGCAGAATGAGGCAATGAGAGAAGTGCTGGGCTGCACCAAGGACACTACAATATTGTGCATGCGCTACTTTCATGCGTGGCATCAAAGTGTGCCATAGGATAGCTCAAGCAAAGTTGTATCTTAGTGTAATGGGCAAGGAAGATCATCCACTGCACAAAGCACTTCACGACAACAACAAAAGGCAGCATCAAAAGAGGAAAGTATTGGATGGCAGAAGCAGAAGATTCTCCCAGAAGAGTCTGTGTACCTGAACATGTACCACTTGGCGAAGAATGGGAACAGGTGGCAGGAGAATACAGGGACCTCACCAAGGTCAAAATAAGCATGGGCAGAGACAGAAGAAATGTTGCGGCTGCCATCAACGAGAGCGATGTCTACGAGATTGTTTACAAAGAACTCAAAAGCAGGGGATCCTGTAATTTATACGGTTGGCCCAGTGAAAAGAAATAGCCAGCGAAGAGGATAGGGATTTGTTGTATTCGCCAACAATAAAATCATCCACAGTGCATCTGGAGCCTGCAGCAGGACTAAATCAAGTATGCGAAAGGAAATTGAAGCCAGCACGAAAGTACGCTCACATGGATTTTCTGCCCTGGCCATGCAGGCGTTAAAGGAAATGAAAAAAGCTGACAGACTGGATGGTGAGGCCACCTCAGTAGACAGTACGGTTTATCCAGACAAGGTCGATATCCTGAAATGTCTCTCTCGCCACCTGGTTGAAGAGGAAGATAAGGAGGCAGAGGCCAGTACTGCTGTGGAGAGGATAATGGTTTTGGAAATACAGAAAGGATGTGGAAAATCTGGCACCCTTGCAGTAAAGTACAAAAGAACGTTCAACCAGATGTGCACTGGCACAATCAGTAGACAGACCATCAGCGGCATTTTGGAGAGAGCAGCGGAGCATCGATGGACTTGTCCGGAGTGCAAGGATGTTGCTTCCAGAAACAATGAACAATGTACATCTGACACTAGGCGACCTCCACCTCCTTCAATCACAGATATCTCAACTTCTAATCAACATAGATGTGTGTTTTTTCATTAAAAGCATGGGAAATGAATAGGCTTTAAGATTATATACAAAAAACCCTATATGCCAAAAAATTGACGAGCACCCGATTCCACCGCGTCATGACACTTATATTTATGTAGTATGCTTCCCGGGAAGCTGAGAATGTTTCGGAGTGTTCTATGGTCTGCTGGGGTAATAATATAGTGTAAAGCGCATAGAGCCTGGT